TGTGTAGATAGTGTACGCTCTTTGTGTGTAGAGAGTGCAGCGCTCTTTGTGTGTAGATAGTGTACGCTCTTTGTGTGTAGAGAGATGCACTTTGTGTGTAGAGAGTGTATGCTCTTTGTGTGTAGAGTGTATGCACTTTGTGTGTAGAGAGATTATGCACTTCCCGTGTTTTGTGGATTCCCTCCTGCAGTTACAGGCAACGTTTATAAACAGCTTAAAGTGTGTATGTACTTGTATCGCATCCAGGATATATCCTAGCTTTGTGATTAGTTAGATCTGGGCAATAGACCTACTGACCAGGATAAATACTGACAACAGCATGTTAAACTTGAAAACTCTAGCTACAGTAGCATGCGCAGATGTAGGAGCGTGAACGAGGGGGTGTGAATCGTTTATTACTGAAAATACGCAGAAGAACATTGGGGGGCAGGGGGGGGGGGCACCCCCAGCCCCCTCCTTCTCTGCATGTACCTGTCAGGTGTAAAATGAAAATTCTCTAAATGATAGACTGTTTGAAGGCTTATTACTCACCTGTATATCTGATTTCGCACTTTCTTCCCAATTATTTTCCATTTGCTGTAGGATCTGAGCTCCACTAGTGTCCAAAGTAACCATGGTTTCTCGATACGGTCTGAGATATTTTTCATCACTCTTCCTGGAGTCAGTCGTCATATACACCTCGTAGTTGTGCATATGCTGTAAAGTNGACCGGGCGTATAGTTCTGATTTCCCCGTTTTGTGAGCCCACTTCAAACAGCGCCCTGTCTGTCGCTTTCTGCATCTTATATGAGAGCCAGGCATTCTGTCCAGAGTCCACATCGACGGCCACCACTTTAGTGACAAGATAGCCCACATCAGCTGAACGAGGCACCATCTCAGCCACCGAGGAGCCACCAGTCTGTATTGGGTAGAGGATCTGAGGTGCATTGTCATTCTGGTCCTGTATAATAATGTGAACTGATGCATTTCCTCGTAAAGGAGGAGACCCTCCATCCTGAGCTGTAATTCGAATGTGAAATTCTTTTATTTGCTCAAAATCAAAAGTGCGAACACCGTGAATAGAACCAGTCTCCGAGTTCACGGAGATATATGAGGACACAGAAAATCCATTTGTCTGAGTATCTTCTAGTAAGTAAGAAACATGGGCATTGTTTCCAGAATCCTTGTCACCTGCTTTAACTGAGTATATTGATACGCCCGGTAAGTTATTTTCCATAACATAAGCGGTGTAAGACTGTTTCTCAAACTGAGGCGCGTTATCGTTAATATCTGATATCTTTAAAGTTAGCGTTTTTTTAGAAGAATATGTTGGTGATCCTCCGTCAGTAGCTGTTATTGTCACATTATATTCCGATACCATTTCACGATCCAAAACACGTTCAGTAACTAAACTGTGGAAATTAGACGAAGTTGACTTTATTTTAAAAGGTAAATCGGCATCGATTAAACATATAATTTGTCCGTTTTTTCCCGAGTCTGCATCTTTAATATTCAGCATAGCAACGACCGTATCTGGCGCAGCATTTTCTGGTATAGGACTTGATAACGACATTACAGTTATAACCGGAGCATTATCATTCACGTCCAAAATATCAATCAGTACTTTGCTAGTGTCCGTTAAGCCACCCTGATCTGTCGCTTTCACAATTATCTCGTACTGTTTATTTCTTTCGTAATCAATATTACCTTTGAGTATAATTTCCCCAGTAATGAGGTCTATAGAAAATGCTTCAGACGCGCCATCACTGGACTGAGAAAAAGAATAGGTTACCTCCCCGTTTGTTCCCGTGTCCGCGTCTGCCGCGCGTACTGTTAAAAACACGATTCCTTTAGCTGAATTTTCCTGTAAAGACACTTTATACACTGTCTGAGTGAAAACGGGAGAATTGTCGTTTGCATCCAGGACATTCACGAGTATCTTGACGGTGCCAGATTTTGGGGGGGTTCCTCCATCTATTGCAGTCAAGAATAAATTAATGTGTTCTTGCTCCTCTCTGTCCAGCGCTGTTTTAAGCAGCATTTGTACATGCTTTGTACCGTCGGGACGGGATTCAAAATTCAATATAAAATGATCTGTGGGTTTCAGTAAATAAGACTGAAGAGCATTGTCACCAACGTCCGGATCTTTAGCGCTCTCTAATGAAAACCTAGCGCCGGCTATCGCAGACTCGCTAATCGGTATCACTATTTCCTTTTCCGCGAAAGCTGGAGCATGATCATTGATGTCCAATATTTCGACATCTATGCGATGGAGCTCCATAGGATTGTCAAGTATGATTTGAAAATGTAGAGAGCATGGAGAGACCGAGCCGCACCGCTCCTCTCTATCAATCCTTTCTTTCACTTCCAGCGTCCCTTTGTCAATATTCAGACCAAAATACTCACGACCGTCTTCCGTAAAAACCCGAGCCCGGCCCGATTTCAGCCGTTGCACGTCCAGACCCAAGTCTTGTGCGATATTGCCCACGAAGGAGCCCTTTGCCATCTCCTCCTGGACAGAATAGCGGACCTGCCCGAATGCCGTCTCTGCTCTGCACAGACAGAGGAGCAGAAGATGCTGCCATTTCCAAAATCGAGAAATCTTCCAACCACCGTCAACGATACACAGGAGTCTCAGGATTACGAAACATAAATTCAAGGTAAAACAATACATAGAAAATCTAAAGGCGTTGGCCATTATGTATCATAATACCTAAACGAAGGCTACTTTACATTCAGTGCGATGGACTGTACATCTGCTTATTCGAGTTAGTTGATGCGGCAAACGCTCTTCCGTGTGACATGTACAAGGCGGTAGATGAAATAGCTAAAATTGACCAACAGCGGCACTCAGAGCTGGCAGCAACTATTGCATTGCTAAGCGAACCCCAGAACGTTACCGCCCCTCCATCATAAAATAATAAAAGACTTAATTAAATCAATTAATCCTTCAGCAGCTTAAAATGGGCAGAATCAAGGGGGAGTAAAATATATGCTTTGAAAATAAACACAAGGCCTTAGTTTTCTCATATCTAACTTATAACTTAGGAACTGTACAAACATACATAATTCTTTGATGAATTTAATATAGTTAAACATTACTTTCTCAAATTTTAACTGTGACAAGGAAGCTATATATGTTATAAAATGCAATTTCAGGCAATACTCTAAATTTAAAGCTTTAACTATCCATATCATTCACCTAATTGTTACTGTTTCTTTACTTGGTATATCTGCTTTCCAAACACTGACTAAAACTCATCAACATCTGATGGTAAACAGCAACATGAAATCACATACAGTGAACTGCTTCAGTATTTCATCACATTTTTTAGAAAATTGTACCACAGCGATGCATAGGAATTATACAGTGTCTACATTGTACTGTACTCTCCAATTACACACATGTGTAAGACTGAAGCGTGGGTTCAGGCATTTACTTGGCTCCCCTGTAGTAGCTTTTGAGGTTAAGGACTTTCCTCAAGGACCCAACAGTGATCACCCAAGCGGAAAACAGCCCTAAGCCGCAGAACCCTAAAGAACAAAGTCGTATTATGGCAGATGGGCAAACAGTCCTAACCCGCAGAACCCTAAAGAATAAAATCGTATTATGGCAGATGGGCAAACAGTCCTAAGCCGCAGAACCCTAAAGAACAAAGTCGTATTATGGCAGATGGGCAAACAGTCCTAACCCGCAGAACCCTAAAGAATAAAATCGTATTATGGC